TGATTTTTTATGGGCCTAATTATGTCAATATCGCTGTATAGCTCATACAGCTCATCATTCCATCTTATTCAATACTTGTTGTCAACGAGTAATTCTTCCGAAGAATTTTTCTCTTGAATGCTCCTAACGCCTTCTCATCACTGTTGATAATTGTCCAAGCTTCTGCCATACAGCAGGAAAGGAATGATAAGAGATTTATACAGAGTTATTTTTGTTTATCGAAAGTGGGCTTTACGAGTATTTCTCAATTATCTACTTTAGCCCGTAGTAAAATCTATTTGCAAGAAGCATACTACATTGAATCTTTAATTAAAGTCTAATTATAGTCTTTTAAAATTTCGAAATCATAATTGTCAACAGTAACGTGTTAAGTTTCTTAACGTCCAAGACGCTTATTTTCTAAGTTAGAAAATGGTGCTCTGACAACGCGAGTATTTAAACTAACGATATCAATATCGTCGGCATCACACTTTTGAAAAATATTGTACCAGAACAGCTTAAATCTGCTACAACTTAAATGGAATTATCATTTTCAACTTTAGCTTAAAATAATTACACAAAGAATCAAACTGTCTGAAACCTTGTTTGGCATCAAACTTCTCGGACAATTCTTCCGAATTCTATAACTTTTGCTGGGACACCAAATTCAGACATATCGGCATAGAAACTGCTTCTAGTCGTAATGTCAAAAGGTTTGAAATGGACAAATATATAGTGTGTGCCGATTTGGATTTCTTGGAACTCCTTCAGGATTTGAACTGTAGTCTACGGTGGATTTGCCCGGTGTGAAGCTAAACTTTCAATACAACAGGTTGAAGATTTGCTACAATCTTTTACTTAGTACGTTTGACAGAACCTTATATGCGATATTTAAAAAACTGATCCCATGATAATTGACGCAATCTGCAGGATCACCTTTTTTGTAAATTTCTTCACTATTATCTCTGGTAAACTGTCTCATTTAATATATCCAATGCAGAACTTATTAGAATATAATGGTATTTATTAGAATAAATGACATACAAGTAGCGCTAGAATGTACCTTAATTCAGTAATGATTTTATTTCAATTAACAATTAATTTTCCTTTTTGGTTTTTAATAAAAACACATTTCGTTAATTTATAGTGTATGGGTGATGGCTTTTATTGCGACTGTAGGTAATTTACTAGTTCTTTTTGGGCGATACTTCTACAAATCACGCAGCAACGTAGAACATTCACTTTACTTGCGTCATTTGGCGGCCAGTGATTTCCTGATGGGAGTTTACTTAACGATAATTGCCTGTACTGACATTAGTTATCGTGGCGAATATATTGTACATGAGCAAGACTGGCGGCAAAGTCACTTGTGCGCCTTTTCGGGTAATACTTTTGATCAGATATATTTTGACAGTTCGTAACATTATTTTAATCTTTATTTAAAAGGTTTTTTAAGTACATTTAGTTGCCAGTCATCAACTTTATTACTGACACTAGTGACATGGGATCGTCTGATGTCAATAATGCGACCGCTGAAACCACGTGATATTGGAAAAACCGGGTAAATTATATGAGTAAACTTTTATATAACTATTTCAGGCAAAAAAGAAAACTTATATAAAAATTTTTACAAAATTTAAAAAGCAAAAACTTTTTAATATGTAATTAATTTCTGAGAAAAAACTTCTAAGAAATGAATATCTGAAAACAAAAAATTTTAATAAATAAAAGAACATCAATTTGAAGTTTTATTTACAAAACAAAAAGCTAAAATGACTTCTTGAGCGACATTTGATTGACAGTTTTCGAATCCTATTCCACTCACCCACTCACCTACTTACACATCACTAAGCAACTTTTAAGAAAATTTAATATTTATAATTTTTACTATATTTTTGTTTATAGAATTGCTTTGCGTTTAACACTTCTATGGGGCGTATCATTCTTTCTGGCTGCTGCACCGCTCTTCCCGCTCAGTTATTTTGGACAACATTTTTATGGCACCAATGGCGTTTGTCTATCGCTGCACATACATGACCCCTACGCAAAGGTTGAAGAGCATCATATTTAAAAACTCTATAAACTCTTATAAACTCTAGTTTAATTAATATTTCACAGGGTTGGGAATATTCTGCAATTTTATTTATATGCATTAACACTTGCTCATTAATTTTTATTTTGATCTCATATGTGCGTATGTTGCAAGCTATAAAAGATTCTGGAGGTTGCATGCGAAGCACATTAAGTGGACGTGAAAATGTAGTGGCAACCAGGTAAAATTATTGTTATATTATTAAATTTTTAATGTAATATTTATTAAGTTTTTTTTTATTTCTAATTACACAAAACTTAAAGATTCGCCATTATTGTAACCACAGACTGCGCTTGTTGGTTACCAATTATTATAGTCAAATTAGCAGCACTTTCAGGTAGCAAATTTTCAAATCTTTTTCACTTCTTTAATTTTTCACTAATTTAATCTCATTTTCAGGATGTGAAATTTCACCAGCAACATATGCTTGGCTAGCAGTACTTGTGCTACCTGTGAATTCTGCCTTAAATCCTATCCTCTATACCCTCACCACTGCTGCTTTCAAGCAACAACTACGACGTTACTGTCCTACTTTGCCGACTTGTTCATTTATTACTGAAACTCGTTCGCAAACACAGACCGGGTATGAGTCTGGTCTCAGCTTAAGCTTGAGCCATTTTGGTAACAATAGTTCTGGACGCAAGCGGTTTATGCCGCGCCGCATGAATTATGTATGAGATCGACGGAGAATCAGTTGGCCTGAGACTGAGTTGTAGTACAAATATCACAACGACAATGGCTGTATATATATATATAGAGTGCGCTTAATTTAGTAAAAAAATAATTGTAATATTCAAATTTGCCAAATTTTCATAAAATTAACCGCATGTAAATATTTTTATATTTTCTATATATTTCGTAAATTATTAAAATTAAGAATTGTAGTTTTAATATTGAAATGTTGGAGTTTAATTTTAAATTAAATATTTTTAAGAAAATTTACTATAAAATTTTGTATTAAAAACGAAAGTTCAATTTCCATAAAAATGCTGTGATTGTGGCATTAATAAAATTAAATGTCCTTTATGATGTTTTAAAATAAAATTTAAAAAAATTGAGTTTTAAAATTAATTGTGAATCGTTTTTGTTGAATTTGCTTAAATATAAAGATGAACGATATTTTATTCAACAGTTGAAATTATAAACGTAGCCATTCTTTAAATATAAAGAACGAAATTTAACTTTAGACTTTACATCATAGACATTGCTCCTCCCTAAAAGTATGATCGAAGTAATATTTCATAATGAAAAAATAGCCCATGCCGTTTTTCAATAGCAAAGGGTTGGGCTTCGTATTTACAGGTAGTCTTTTGGTGTAACCATTGAAACTAGATTCTTGTTACAATGTTCTTTTATTAGCAATTAGGTAAGAATTGTATGATTGTAGTAATATTGCATTATAAAAAGATAACCTAAGACATTTTTCAATAGCGAAAGATTGAGCTTCATATTCACAGGTAGTTTTTGTATGTAACCAGTAAAACCAGATTCTTCTTGCAATGTCCTTTATTAGCAATTAGGTAAGAATTGATATTAATTATTTCATTTAAATAATCTTCTCTTTTTGATCGCCATTATTTAAAGGTTGATTTCTTGATACATGCTATCTTCCCTGGCGAACTTAATCGCCCATGTACTAAATTCAAGGAAAAATGAAGAGTTCTTAATTGATGTTCTTTTAATATTAAAAATATCTATTCAAATATTTTTTACTTATTACATCTTAAGCAGTACTGTACTTATTATTTATTTGAACTAATTTTACTGAATCAGCGATTTTTACTTTTTGTTTGAGATTAATGCCCAAAGCAGTACACAATTGCGAAGCTGCACGATTTACGGTTCTTCTTCTGTTTCGAATATTGCTTAACATGATCAATATTTTTATTTTGTCAAGAGTTGTGTTATAAATAATTTATACTTTTATTAAACTACTGTTTAAAATTTTTAAGTCACGACTTCGTCCTATCCTTCCTATGCATTCGGAGCAAATTATGCTATATAATCTACCAAGGCTATCACAATCGATATCGTTACTAAGGACTTTTAACCTAAAATGATTTAAAGAAAAATAATTTGAAATTCATTACAAAATCCTGACAGGATACTGGGTTAAACTATTATCTATCAAAACTGGGAAGCTACTCTAACTTGTAGGAATGATAATGAAACCACAAAACGCGTGCTGAGAGTTTTCCCGGCACTGATACATAAGCAAAAAAGTACTGTGGTGGATATTTTTTATCGAATGAAGAATCTGAAATTAATTAGACTTGGAGATATACTCGTTATCAGTGGTTCCCAACCTTTTCTATAATATTTTTATTTTTAGTAGGGAACATAAAGTTTAAGAATAATATACTATTATTATGTAGGTTTGGCGGAAATGAGTCACCCACCAAGTCAATAATATATGTCATATTACAACTGTATTTCATTTACTTTTAATAATTTATTTTTTAGAATTAGTTAAATTACATTTCAATTGCATAAAAAATAGTGATTATAACCGGACTACCATAATCATAAAAAGTCAGAACAAGACCCCATCATATAATCAAATTAGTTTTCAATCACCGCTATTCAAAATTTTTGAGAAACTTCTATATGACGGTATATAAAGCTAAATAATAGGAAGACATTTCTAATAATAATTAAAATTAAAATATAAATAAGGACCCCTTTTCACGCTAAGAATATACCAATACCAAGCGACATCTAAGCTATGATTTGGGAAGATTGTGAAAAGGATCACTAATAAAACTCCAAATCTATTATTTCAGTATTAATTTACTGAAAAGTAAATTAATCTATTATTTAAAATATAATAAAACGTTACCAATATAATATAATTCATATAATATATATTTGATCCATTTTTGCGGAGTCGCACACATACGAATTCCTATTCGACATTAAGTTGTCTTATTGTCCTTTTGTCCTTAAGAAATAATTTCAATAAATATTCAAAAAATAGTCAAATTAATATTTCCATAGAAAACATTTATTTTTGTCATATTCCCTTGACATACTGTCTTGACATTTTAATAAGCTTTTAGCAGCATTAGGAATTATTGTTTTGAATTATTAAAAAATAAAGTGAAACGGTTGAATAAATCTGAACATTTCAATTTTTCAAAGTAGAATTATTTCTACCTTTGCGATATTTGAAATGGAATTAATATTACTAATATGCAAGGGAGCTTACAGTTAAAAGGTAAAAGCAATAATATCTCGCCCTCTTGTTATACGAAATATTTATGATATCAAGTAAAATTTTTTACCGCCTACATGGACTTAAGGTAAAAGCCTATTTAAACTATGTAGATATTAGATAAGTATTTTGCAACTATTATTACAACTAGATAGATTGAAGATATTAGATAAGTGTTTTTACTCACAAATTAAATGTTAATATTGAAAATATAATATATATTCATAAAATAACATTAAATCACAATATATTTTATTTAAAGACATTAATATATTATAATATTCTGAAAAAATACTGAAAAAATTTTAAAAATGATACATTTCATGAATTATACGTTTAATTAGGTTGCATATATATAGGCTTTTAAAGCAACATAAACATGAGTAGAGTCTTCTTGGACCAACTTTCAAAACAAAACATATCAAATAAGAAGTTAATTTTTGATGTTCAATAAAACAAAAGATATCCGAAAAAAAGTATACCAAAAATTTAAATCCAGAAATCTTTATTTTCTCATTAAAAAAAGATTATAAATATCATATTTCCGATTTACTTGCATTGTTCAGTGGGACAATTCAAACAGAACTCTCACCTAAGCCATCATATATTAAATTTTAGGTTTGCCATTTTATAATGTAAATCGTTTAGCAACCGCTAAATGTGTTTTGTAAGTTTCATGATCATTGACCGACTATGTAATAGTTAACTAAAAGTGACAATGATTGCATGATTGTAGAGAAATTCAATTCAAATTTAATATTCAGACTACCCCATATAACACACAGGCAAAACTTAAAAAAAAAAATATATAACATATTACAATAGATAAAGCTGCCACCATAAAACTTATAAAAATATGAAAATATGGAACCATCAGTTCTCAATAGCTACCTATGCAGCAAATCCGTAAACTATTACAAAAATTTTAAAGGCAAGAGATTGCAGACTTTGAATTGTGAGTATACCGCAGAGTGTTACGAGTTACACGAACTCCCCATAGAACCCATGTTCTCTATTTCACCGAAATGTAAGAACCAGGCTTATAAACCCGAATTTCAAGAAACAATGTGCTTATATTATGACACTACAAACAGTCAGGACTAAAGTAATAAAAGACGCAAAAATATAATGATAATGTACTATATAATAAAAATGTCTTATAAGAACTTTAATCAAGAACTAATTAGCCCACTTTCACATAATAAGCAAAAATTTAAAATACATTTGTGACCTTATCTAAAAGATTACCAAAAAAAGGATAAAGAAAACTTACTAAAGAATTATATTAAAAAAGTCTAATGTGGCATATCTAAGAAGTAACCGCATAAACCTCGTACTTTGAAACGGTTAGTTGTGAAGTAATTATTGTCACGTGTTAATTGTTGTAATTTTGATAATTGTTTTTGGAAAACAATAAATTTTTGGATAATTATTATTATTGCTTAGAACGATATTCGGTTTTTACAATTTGCGATACATTTACAAAAAAAAATTTATACACAATTTTATCCTTTATTTGCTTGCAAAGCAAATTTAAAGGAAATTATCGCATCGTCATGACACACAATTTTGCGGATGAAATTGGCTTTTCCGGTTCGTGCTTTTCCTGCTTTGTTATTTTCCGTCTATTATATAAGTCGTATTATTTACTTTCTCAGTACAAAGCATTTCTTAATTTCATATTTGCACAATTTTTATGAATGAAAGCCATATTTTATGGGTGTAAATATTAACAAAACAAAAATGTCCTTGAATTCATTCCTATAGAAATTTTATTAAAGTTAAAAATTCTTTTCAATCTAATAGAATTGTAAAGAAATTTAAAGGAATTGAGTTTTTTATACACAAGGATATAAATATATAAAGTTTTTATAAAGTAGCTCAAATGAATCTATTTATAGATCGACCAATTATGTTTTAAAAGTGTTATATATAAGCAAAGAGAATAA